CAGATGAGACCCTGAAATCAAACTCCAGTAACACTGGTTATATAATTATAGCTACTTAAAGACTGAGATCTGAAAACAGGTCCAAAGCCAACCAAGGCTAACAAGTCCAGGAGACTCATATCCAATTAATCAACAAAATAAAATACAGGAAAGCCAGGTGCCAGTGGCTCACCCCTGTAATCTTAGCTACTCTGGAGGCTAAAATCTGAGAATCAAGTTGTATGCCATGCCAGGCAGGAGAAAGTCTGTGAGACTTGTATCTCCAATTAACTTCCTCCTCCACTGTCACCCACATATACAAAGCTGGAAGAGCAGCTGTGGCTCAAGTAGAGCACTAGCCTTAATCAAAAGAGCTTAGGGTTTACATCCCATGACAGACATAAATAAATACCCACACTGGAGGCATGGCTCAAGTAACATAATGCAAGTCAAAAGGACAAAAGTTGAGTGTTGAAATGTTTTAGATGAGCTGGGGGGGGTGGGGGTGGGGGTGTGAGACAACAAAGAAAGAACAACGAAGCCCTAAGAGTTCACGTCTTGGGAATGGCACACTCACACATGTGTGTGCACACATTCATTCACATGCACACATACGTGCGCGCACACACAGGCACACGCACAAGGAGAGAAGAAATATAAGGTCCACTTACCTTACCACCCTGAGTACAATGAATAAAAATTTTCCATTGGCTGGAAGTGTCATTCAAGTGATGTTTCTTACCAAGGCAAGTACCAAATCCAATACTGAAACAATTTTTTTTGGTTCAAGACCAGGACTCAAACTCAGTATCTGACGCATTCGTTCACTGGCAGGCATCGTAAACACCTGCGCCATGCCTCCAACCTCAAAACAATTTTTATTGACCTTACGTAAGAATTGTTTAAGTATATATCCAAAAATAAGCATATTCCCATTTAATTCTACTAATTATTGTTATAATTTGTGGTGAAAAGTTCTTAAGTTCATCACATGAAATTTGCATGATATCCTTTAAGAAAAAATTGAAATTTTATACACATGAGTAAACAGAATATTGTCTTCTGAAACTAAACAAGGTACACTGAGAAAAATTGAAAAGGAAAAATTCTAACTGACTCAGCCTATTTACTTTAAATGGTACTACTAGGGTTTGAATTCAGGGCTTTGGCCTTGCTTTTTGCCCAAATCAGGTTGGACTGTAATCCTATTCCATTAGGATAAACATCATCCTGCTTAGGTGAGATGGGAGGACTTGTAAACATTTTACTCAGTCTAGAATGTAACTGTTACCCTGCCAATCTCTAAGCAATGATGCCTGACTAGACAGTTGTTTTGTAATAGTCACAAAAACACAGTATCTGTTTCTGGAGAGGAAACTGGTAGTAATAATAGTGATTCAAGACATAAAAACATTTGTGGGGCTGGGAAGAGCGCTTGCCTTGAATGCCTGAGGCCTTGGGTTCGATTGCTCAGCACCACATAAGCAAAAAAGCCAGAAGTGGTGCTGTGGCTCAAGTGGTAGAGTGCTAGCCTTGAGCTGAAGAGCTGAGGGACAGCGCCCAGGCCCAGAGCTCATGACCGGACCTCCCCCCCCCCCCCCCCCCGTCCAAAAAAACAACATTTGTGGATATTTTTCAATGTGTACATTTGAACTCTGGCTATATTTCTTTAAGAATTTCATTCAGTGACACAGTCCCATTTATAAGGAAATTGAAAGATTTGGGGAAAAAATCATATGAAGTCAAGTAAGCCAGTCCCAAAGAAACATAGGCTCCATGGTTTCCCTTATTTGTAATAATTAGTATATGTCTAGGAGAGTCCTAGCTGAGGATTACAATAGCTCTATAGCTATGTATATATGAACATATAAGATGATACTAATCAACAGGATCTCCAAAGACAATAGAAACAAGCAGGTTTTCTTAGTTGTTTTTCATGTACTGTGTGAAGTTATTCCTTTTTTCTTTCCTTTGGATTATCCCCTGTTGTCACTGTATTTTATTTTGGCACCCTGTGTCTTATATATGTTTATCTAACTTGAGGAAGGAAAGGAGAACAATAAAATGGTGAGACAAAGGGTGAACCAATGCAACAGCAATACTCACAAGACAATATGTTTGAAACTTTACAACTTGTGGGGGGAGTTGGGAAGAAGGGAAAGCAGGAGAAAAACCGGGGGGTGGGGGGGGGGTGGGGGGTGTAACAATGTTCAAAAGGAAATGTACTCATCACCTTACATATGTAACTGTAACCCCTCTATACATCACCTTGACAATAAAATTAAATTTGAAAAATAAACTATAAAAAATTTATTCAGTACCCTCAATCAGGAAACAGGCTTCTGTTAGTCAAAAACAAATATAAAACAGAGAAAATAAATATTGTTATTTCATCATGTAAATGAAAATATAACCAACTACTAAACAGGAACTTTGAGAGATATTCAATCAGACACTGTTTACAAAAAAAAAAATCGCAATAAGCTGAGTAAAATCCTAAGAAAAGATCTCTTACTAAGATTTACAAGAGAACCTTTAAGAAAACATTTCAGTATTTACACTTAGGATAATCTGATCTGAGCTAAGTCCTCAACCCTCATAATGTTTTTAAGTGAAGCTTCAAATTTCAAACATGAAATTTAGTAATCAAGAAATTTAGTAATAAAGACTGTTAGAAATGAAATCATACTCTTGTATTAGCATATAAAGAAATAAAACCATATTGGACTGTGGAACTGCGAGATATTTTTTCTGACAGCGCTCAAAATGACCCCAGAGCAACATACATATAAGGCAAGTGTTCTACCTGTAAGTAACATTCCCCATCTGGGATGCATATTTGATGTGAATCAGCAAATTAACATTCTGTAATATGAAACTATCTAAAAAGTGTTTTTAAAGTTGTAGCCAATATTCCTAGCTACTCAGGAGGTTAAGATCTAAAGATCAAAGTTAAGCCAATCAAAGACAAAAATCTATGAAATATTTACCTTCAATTATCCAGCAAAAAAGCAGAACTGAAGGTATGTCTCAAGTGGTAGACAGTGGTGAGAAAAAAAGCAATGTCTTGAAACACTTTAGAGGAAAAATGACATAAAACCTGTTACGTGAGTAGTTTCTCACCTCTTCTAGAAGAAGCCCATGTCTACAAATATCTAAGAAGTAAATTCAAAAAAATAACTGTTGAATCTAAGAGAAAGGTATTTCGTGCCTTATTCTTATGGAAATTCTAATTATTTTTTCATTTTCTTGTGGTAAAGAGCATTGTACATGATAGACAAACACATATTGAGCAATAGCTCAAAAAGCCCAGAACTGTTTTTGAAAAATCACTACCTTCAGAGACCCTAAGAATGCTTTAATATATTAATATCTTAATCAAACTCTTAAAACATTTGAATACCATCCTATTCTCCAGGAAACTTCCTCTACTTTTCCAAAATAGTATAGCCCGTTTATTTGTGACAAGTACCATTTCCATAAAATTTCAACCCTTTTAAGCTTTTACCATACACTTGATCACATTTCAATGAAATGAAATCTTACTTCAATCACACATTTCTTTCTTTTTTTCTCACTCATAACCTATATTCCACTAATTGTCAGCCCCCGATGTATTAGGGACTATTGATTACTCACATTAATGCTAAGCAATTTTCTAGCCTTTTATCAGTTCCTGAAATATTCAACAAGTATGCTTCCACCAATATGCTGACATGTTAGGATTCAAAATAATAAATATTTTATCTCTTTTATCAAATACTTCACACCAAGTATAGATTGTAGATAGAAAACCCCAAATCCTCAATGCAACAAACTAAAAACACAGGCAAACCAATTTTTAAAATACTTCATTGCTCAAGAAAAAGTCCAATGTATTTACTTTAAAAATTGTTTAAAAGGAAAAAGAAAAATCAACAAAGTATGCTGTTGGAGGAAAAAAATGATTAGAAAAATGAATGCTCTTTTACATATACTCATAGCATATGAAACTTAAATCCTCCAAGATCCTAAACTTGTTACTTCAAATGATGGCACAATAAGAAATATAAGATGTTGGTATTGTAATATACTGTTTCATATTGCCTCTTGTAGTATGACAACTTTACACTTTGGAAAAACCAATGCTAACAAATTTGCTCTATTTTTTAACCTATTTTTAGCCAAATGACATTTAAAACTTTCTTGTTATACTAATTCATAAGAAAAAATACTGAGTAAACTAATCACAAACTTGTTCAGCTATACAAAAACACTAAAACTGAGTAACTATAAGTTCAGACATGCTCCACTTGACTGTCACTCAGAAGCTGACTGTTCCCAGGATAAACTTCTAAGTACTGGAACAAGGATTTTCCTGATGCAGGGGAAAAGCTGTGTAGAAATCTGTTCTTGGAGACAGTTGAGCCCCGGCACTAGGATGTTCAGGAGATTGGGATATCTCTTTGTGCACTGACTTTCAAATATTCTTGGATGAAGCATACAAAATTTCACAGCCTTGGCTAATTGATATTAACATCAAAGAATCATATTTCTCCCAATCAAAACTCAGATTTTGATAAAATACAATGCTAATAAATACCAAAGGATTATATGCCTAAAACACACATGATGGGAAAGTAGATTTAAATGAAATAAATACACTTAACCTTAAAACTTCTTACCCAAATTAATGTCACAAATTAAAACAAACCTTACTCCCATCACCTTATATTTATGGAAAACGTAATAAGAACAGTCTTCAACTATTGTGTTTACCATCATCTTCTAATTAGACTTTCAAGAAATTGTCACAAACAAAAGCCTGTGAATAGCAAATTTTAAAAAATCCCATTTATCCACTGTTGTACCTTAAATAACAACAACAACAAAACACACACACAATAAAGTATTTGGAACAAAAGAAAACACTTCAATTGTGTTTTACAACTACCTGCTTTTATGAAAGATTCTCAACCAAAATACACTTCTGCCAAAAACAGAAAAGACAGAACTATTTACATATTGTCTAGTTTAAAATTGCATGTTATTTTCCAGAATTGTGGTTAAAGCAGGATATTTTAATACACTGAAAAGGTATGTGAGAAATAACTACTATGATCAGTAGATAGTGAATTAGATACTGCAGGTCAAATATGAGATTCCTTCATGTAATTTTAAACATACACGATCAACATGACCAAAATTTTAAATATAGCTGAGTATATTTTAAAATAAATATTACAATATAATAAAATAATTTTCCCTCGGTACTGAAAATTCAAAACAAGTTTTTCAAGAAGAGTGATCTAATCATATACCAACAATCCTACTATCATTGCCCCTAACATCAAAAATCAAATACAAAACAGGTTTTTGAGGAAGAGTGATCTAAATCATATACCAACAATCCTACCATTCCAAATTCTTTGTTTTGGCTTGTTTCTGAGACAGGGTCTCTGCTATCTTAAAACTCACAAATCTCCTGCCTCAGCCTACCAATTATAATCAGCCTGAAGTAAACTCTGCTTTTAAAAGCCCCATTTGAACTGTATTTCTTAGATTCAGTCCTCTGATCATTAGAGAAGTTACATGCTAACCCAACAATATTGTTTGATTTTTTTAATTAAAAATTAACATTAACTATAGTGATAATGGGCAAGATCTGGATATTGATACCATGTAAATGATCACAGGTAAATTAAAACATTATTTTTTAAGCAAAGAGATTTGCCTTCAAACAGTTTTTTTCAAGATTCAAAAGATTTATTTTGGAAAATCAGCACAGGACAAAGATACCCTTAATAATCCTAAGAATATTTGAATACTCAGAATCTCTGAAAGTAAGCAACAACTCCAATTTAACAGAACAGCAAGTGTTTATACAAATTAAACTCTCATGCCCTCCCACCCCCAAATATACTTCTCTACCTACTGCTTGGACATTATCTTCATTAAGCTTCTATCTTCAGGGCTGCTTATGCAAGCTATAAAGTGAAATCATTTTCACCTTTAAATGGATGAGATTAGAGCAACCAAAATATTACTATTACAGCGAGTTTCGTAAAACTGCAAGGGAGTACCACTAATAACATTTTTATATTATCCAAAGATTTCTTTATTCAGATTAAGTAACTACATAAATTTCACAGTACTGTGGCATAGTTATAGTTAGCTAAAATCACAAACACATTTTTAACATTCACAATGATAAGCATCATCATTCTAATCTACAAAGCTTATGAATAAAGAAAAATACAAAAACCTCGTTTACATAAGAAAAAAGTTTAACTCTACGAACGTTAACAATAAAACTATTTCTTCCAGATAACAGGTAAAAGTGTAAAGGCATACCACTGAATATTCTCTTCTAAATAGCCAGGAATGAAAGAATATTTAATATCTACGACGCTTATTAGGACCTTCAAAGCTGCCCCCTTGATTCCCTCTACCAAAGCCACCAGGCCCACCACTCACAGGAACTACACCACTCATTGGTGCTTGAGGGGTTTCAGAACCCGTTCTACTTCCCATAGGTGAACCCATCTGGGATGGTGGTCCTTGAGAAAACCTATCATTGTGCTATAATACCACAGTAATAAATATCAAGTCCATTTTTGAACACACCAAATTTAAATGACAAGAAAAATTGCCAAAATCCCAAGTGGTGGTGTCATGAAGTTCAGCAGAAAGTCCAGCAGAATCAGGATCACACATAGAAGGAAGAAAGGAGCAATTTAATTAGTTACTATGTTTAAAAAAAAAAAAAAAAAGCAGCATCTGATGATTTACAAACTGCTAATTCTATGCCCCAATTTCATGAGAAAAAAAAAAAAAAAAAGAACTGATTTTTTCATAAGCAAATGCCATCTTAAACCTAATCAGTATATTAATTCTGCTCTGATCCCTTTTTGAAAAGTTTGTATTACAAAAAACTGCTGTAAAAGAACAAAAATACAATGAATCAATCTTTCCTTTTGGGGGGTTTTGTTTTTTTGGTTGATTTTTGTTTCAGAATCTTCTTATATTATATAGCCCAAACTCATCTTGCAACTCACAATCTGCCTGCCTGTACTAGGATTACAAGTATGTGCTACCATGCCCAGAAACAAAAATACTTTTTAAAAAGAAATCAGAGAAATAAAACTGGGGACCCAGCATCACCTTCTATTCTAAAAAGCACAACCATTCTAAAAACGTAAATATCAATACTTTTAAGGAACAGAGCACTAGTACAAACAACACATAATGGTTACTTCAATATGGACACTTTTGAGCTGCTTTCATTCAAGAACTAATCTTAGTAAAATTGACTTAGGTTTTAAGATTGACTGATTACTTGTAATATAGAACTAGAACTAATAATAACACATAGAACATCTGAATAACTTATTTTGAAAAGTTTTGCAATAATTACACAATAACATATTCCTTAAGTATAGCAGTAAAATGTAGGTGCAAAAACACCAAGGATAATATTTTAAATGAAGTTCACAATTTTGGGAAATGGGATAGAACATGAGAGCTAATGTTACTTCCATGTTACTACTGATGATTACATGTTAAAAAAAATTGAATCAAAATGTTTTTATTACCTTTCACAGCCATTACTACAAAAACATAGAACCTACTAAAGGAGAAAATACACTAAACTGAATTATGTACCATCTGTTTATAGAGGGTATCATAACATTGCCTCATTACCACCCTGAAAAAACTATCATTTAAAAAAAAAAACAAAAAAACTCCAGCTGTCCAAATTTTCTAAATTCTGAAGATTTTTTTTTATCAATTCTAAGATGCACAATGTCTTAATTTCAATGCCTTTGTTTTTTGTTTTTTTTTCTTTTGTGCTGGTCATAGGGCTTAAACTCAGGGCCCAGGTGCTGTCCATGAGCTTTTGTGCTCAAGGCTTAGGCTCCTCTACTTCTTGAGCCACAGCTGCACTTCCAACTTTTTGGTAGTTATAAATGGAGACAAAGAGTCTCAGACTTTCCTGCCTGGGCTGGCTTTGAACTGTGATTCTCAGATCTCAGCCTCCTGAGATTGCTCCTGAGTTGCCAGATTTACAGGTGTGAGCCATCAGCATCTGGCATAGTATCTTCTTAATCACCATGAATATATAAATGATGGCAATGTCTCATTTTAATTGATAGTTTTTCCTTTTTTTCCTTTGTTTTTAAAGCTAGTAATAGTGCCATAATAATTATTCAAAATTTTCTATCAATTTTCCTTTACAAATGTCATTTAGAAAAAAAAAAATCTATTGAAAAGAAAGACCACATAAGAAAGCATTTTCCTAGTAAAAAGCCTCATTTAAATAGTGGCAAACAATAAAAGGTATCAGTCTTGACAATTTAACATTTAAACATAACAGAAATTACAACTGAAAAACCTTGTTTTTTAAAATATTTAACCCATACAAAGATATCTTCACACTCTCAGATGAAAACCAAAAGTGTTCACAGTGAAAATACTTTGAAATAAATCACAAGTAATCTTATCCAAACTGTTTACTGAAAACTGTGTTTTCACAAATAATTGGAGTACTACAGTCTCCAAAAGTTAACGAGTTCAAACAGAAAAAGAACAGTCACAAATACTTAATCACTATAATAACTGCTGGTAAGAGAATACCAATTAAAAAGATCAAAAATAACTATGTGTATGTGTTTGTGTGTGTGTGTGTATACATGCACGCACTGAAGTACAAAAGCATGCCAAGGATGTTAATCCTAACTCTTAGGCTATTTAAAAATTGTCTCTTATAATCAAAACTTAATGTCACTAATTACTTTTTCTTCATTGGCTGTCCATCTCTACCTACCACACCAAACCAAATGATGCCAAATTATGTTAAGTGTGAAGTTATCTTTGGGGCAGAAGTATGTTACTAAATATAATCAAAATAATGTTTGTGATACATTACCACTGCTCCATTATCTGGCATCATTGGAGTTCCCATATTTGCAGCTCCTTCTGGTCCCATGGCAGGACCAGGACCCATTGGAGGGCCAGGTATAGTTCCTCTGTTGTTCATATTCATACCCATCATTGGAGGAGGACCTTGGTTACCAGCAGGTGCTGGGCTAAACGCATCTATGTAAAACAATCTATACTTAGAGCTGTCCTATCTTAGTATAGTAAACAAAAACAATTTTACAAAATGTATGCAATCTATATGCAGATTAGTATCAAAATCACTTTCATCCTTGAAGATGGAACACTCAATTATCTATTCTAAAACAGATTACCTCCTATAGGTAGAACTTAAATCCCTAAAACAAATATACATGAAACAAAAGAGGTATCTTAACTTTTTTAGGATAATTGAAACTGTAATAGTTTCAAATCATTTGAGTTTGACTGCACTTCTATCAGTTTTAATGAACAGCAAAGAAATAGCACTTTGAGACCAAAACAAAAACACTTGCTTGTCTTAAAGTCCTGACTAAATATTTGTATGTATAGACCTTAAGTTATAAGGTTTAAGTTATATATTCCCTGGAATATATACAAAGATGACTCTAAATAAATATCTTGTCTTTTACGTAGTTAAATTCCTTTCAAAATTGTGGGATTTTTTTTCACATTAGATTAAGTTATCCAATAGAAAAAAAATTAAAATGATACATCATGATTAAACTTTGTGCAAGTCAGGAGGAGAGGGTGCATGTGTGCATATGGCATATGTGGCTCGGTCTTGGGACTTAAACCAAAGTACTACATCTAAGCCTTTTGTGCCCAAGACTTAGCACTCTACTACTTGAACTACAGCTCACTTCTGGCAATTTGGCAGTAAACTGGAGATAGGAATTTCAAGAATTTGTCTGCCTGGGTTTGCTTGATCCTCAGATCTCAGCCTCCTGAGTAACTAAGATTACAGGCATCTGAAACTTATTTTTAAAACACAACTGCACTCAAATACAGATAAAATCATTACATGGATATTTTGGCATGTGACATCCTGAAAAAGGGAATACTCAGATATACTTCATCAAAAGAAGGTATCCACACCTCATGTTAATTGCAGCAGTGTTTGAACTGTTAATACTACAGGTAATTCTAAACACAATATTATTAGGCATTTTCTTTATAATCAGTTTCCTTTGAAAATATTCACTTGCTTATAATTAAGATAGGCTCAATTTAGGGTTTTCGTCTACTATTTCATTATGTAAATCAATTCTCTTAACATACAGGGCTAATATACACTATGAAATAGTTTTCATTCAGACCCACTACAGAATACATAAAAGCAACTGAAGTCTACACAGTGGTCAAATACAATGACCAAATCAAAGAAAGAAATGGTACTATACCCCTGCCAGAGCCTGACTTCACTTACTACTCTTTGAATGCAGTCCCAGAAAACAAGCAACTTCAAAGGAAGGAATAATTCCTTTAATCTCTAAAATATTCTTGTTGATAAACCTATACTCTAACCAAGAATATTTCACTTTCTCACTTTAAGTGTATAATAGACATAATTTTAAGGTAATAGTATGGAAGACAATTTATACAGATATCTCACCTCAATTTTCCCCAACAAGAACAAATTAAGGGTGTTATCTTACTCCTTCCGTGTTGGGGGAAGGGACCTTGTTATATAGCCCAAGTAGGCCTTGACCCCAACATTCACACCTTCCCAGTATGGGATCAAAGTCATGTGCCACCACACCTGATCATACCTGACTTCCTTTCTCTTTAAGAAACTATAACTGTTACACTTATCTAGTCTGGATGCTAACTAAAATATTGAGTATTTTAAAATTCAAAAATTTTATTTCCAACTATAAGTAGTTGACTAAGACACTGATTTTTAGCACTTACATTGTCCAGTGGCCTAGCTATAAATGAATAAAATTTAACTCTAAGAAATGTTGGGCCATTAGCTGGCTATCTTAAAAGTTTTATAATCTGTATTTTACATGGTGTGCCGACTGACAATAAGCAGAAATATCTGCTGCAAATGCCACTAGTAAGTTGGGTAGGGGGGACATGCATGGATGTTGCTGAGTCCAAACCCAGGGTCTAGAGCATACTAAGCATGAGCTCTACCACTGGGTCATACTCCAGCACCATGGATGTAACTTGATGGGACAGGACAGTTTCACCTGCTCAACAGTAAATTGACTGGATAACTCCAATAAACCATTAAAAGTCTCACACTGAAGACTAAAGATGAAGAGACTATTAAATGAACTGGACATTAAAACAGCTAAGTACTTAAAACATAAATATGGTGAATAAAATTCCATAAAAACTTTTAGTCAGTTGAATTCACAACTAAAAAACATAAAGGAATTCCTAACAAAAGGAGCCCAGTGCTGATAGCTTATAATCCTAACTTCTCAAGTATGGGATCTGAAGATGACACAGTTCTAAGCCAACCTAAGCAGGAAAGTCCATGAGATTCTCATCTTCCCAGCCCCCCAATAAAGCCAGAAGTGGAACTGTGTCTCAAGTGGTAAAGCCACAAAGCTTAAGGACAGTACCCAGGCCCTGAGTTCAAGCCCCAGGACAGAAATGCATGCACATACACACACAAACAGAAAGGAATATTCTCATAAAATTGCTCATCAAGCAAAAAGAAAACTTTCAGGACTTTCTGCAACCCAAGAAATGGTATTAGAATTTATGCTGAATTAAAATTTATACCATTTCAGGGGCTGGGAAGGTGGCTCAGTGGTAGAGCGCTTGCCTTGAATGCCTGAGGCCCTGGGTTCGATTCCTCAGCACCACATAAGCAAAAAGAAAAAAGCTGGAAGTGGTGCTGTGGCTCAAGTGGTAGAGCGCTAGCCTTGAGCTGAAGAGCTGAGGGACAGCGCCTAGGCCCAGAGTTCAAGCCCCATGACCGGACCCAAAAAAATAAATAAAGTAAATTTTATACCATTTCAAAGTTTTGTTCTGATATTAACATAATCTAATGACTACAGGAGTCTTCAAATTTTCCTATAATCCACAATAATCTTATTCTTACTATCCTTAAAACCCAGAACCTAAAATAAACAACACTAAATTATTTCACCATTATAATCTCAGCTATTCTTCATAATTTATTTCTTATATTCTTAATTATTCTATGTGTCCATATACTGACATCATGATCAAGGCTTCTCTGAATAATGGTCATGTTTCATTCTTCTTTTATATTTCAGAGATGTTAATTCACTACTTTTCAGTAGCAAAGTGACCAATAAATAGCAATACCAGATTCTGATTAAAAGAGTAAAAGAACTAGTACCAGAGGCTTAAAAAAACAAGGCTACATATTCTAAGTTTTGTTTCATGTACCACATATTTTAAGAACATATAAATATATAAGATGGGTATTCAGTGGATGTTCTAGTAATACAAAGACATTTGAGCTATAGACTCATTATCTTATCTCTAAAGCATAACATTCCAAATTTTATCAAGACCTATAATAGTCCACTTACTTTTCCTTCCTTAGTTACGTGTTACTACTTTCGTACAGTAATTTAATATTAAAGTTGCTAGTATATATACTTTCTTGAAATTTTTATATCAACTCTAAACGTGCGTATTAAAAAGACATCTTATTTCCTCAACAAGTCACCATAGTCTCCAACATATACTGGAGATAAGGGGAAAAAGTTAACACTGGAAAGTAGAAAAATAGCTTCAAGTAGCATTACTAGTTTAAAAGTTTATAAAATGTTCTAAAAACATTTAAAAACACAACTCAAAAGCTATAAATTTCTAAGGTTAGAAAAGCCAATAAAACAAGATATCTGACTGTGAAGTACAACAGCACTGTATTACATCATGCAATGACTGAACAAGTTTCAGTATATATCAAAATTTAAATTTATAGGCTTCTACCATAGAAGTTATCAAAGAATAATATGTATTTTGGCTGTCAAAGTCTTCCTAGGCATTCATTTTAAAATAGTAACTTCTAAAAGGTTTCATTTCCAAAAATATTCATTCCATATTTTAGTTTCTTAGTAGTGCATAGATAGATATCATAAGCAGCATATACAATTCCCCCAAAGAATCACAAGTAAATTACAAAAGTCTTTTGCTTCAAATCCCTACCTCCCATGTTTATTGCTCCACGGGGACCCAAATCACCCATTCTCATTTCCTGTTCTCTCTGTAAGTAAACATAGTTGTCACAGTCAACCTATCGATTTTATGACTTACATTTCTCATCTAAAATCAAAAAGAAAAGAGTGAATTGCAACATCACTTTCCATTAAAATCTTTAAAATTTTCCAACTTATTTACATAATAATACCATCAAAAAATGAAAAAAGTTCAGCCTCCTAGGCTTAATACAAGTGCTTATTATACCTAATTTATATTGTAAGATTAAATTCAAAATTGTCCACATTACATAAAATCTATTACAGATTATTTTTATTCAAAGACACATACCTAAAACCTCAAGAAAAATTCACTAGTTATGGCTGGAAATGTGACTTAGTGGTAAGAGTACTTGCCTAACACACATGAGGCCCTGGATTTGATTCCTCAATACCACATAAACAGAAAAGGCTGGAAGTGGTGCTGTGGCTCAAGTGCGAGCCCTCAGCAAAAGAAACTGAGGGACAGTGCCCAGGCCCTGAGTACAATTCCTAAGATTGGCCAAAAAACAACAACAACATAAAAAAATTACAAGTTAGGACCAATTTTTTTTTCATCTCAGGTTTCCTAAGTCTTAGACAATTTTCATGGTTTAAAAGTTGGCAATTTATTCTTGAATTTTAGTTAACTACAGAAGTAAAATTTCACTGTCAGCCTATTTATATACCAAAAAAGACTTTATACAAGCAAATACTGAATATTCATAAAATACATACTGCTTTTCTTTAACTGAGCAGTGGTTTTACTTTAAAACCTGAATGAATGAAGTGTTACTCTTTGGCCAGTTCTGAAACAATACATTATCAAGGATAACTGTAATACAACATCTCAAAGAAATGTTCAAAACCTTTGAATATCATTACAGACACTACTTCAAACAATACATGCAACTAACCTAGAGATTTTTCTGTAGGTGAAATTAACATATGCAATTTTTACTTGATTTGATGACTGTTCTATTCAAATGTACTAAATGTAATCATGAAATATAGTGAAATTAAACCAAGAAGCAATGGCTATAATTCTCAATACCCAAGAAGCTGAGATCTGAAGATTATGGTTTAAGGTAAAGCCAAGCAGGAAAATCTAAAAGATGCTAATCCCCAATTAACCGCCACAAAGCCAGAAATGGCCCAATGACAGTGGCTCATACATGTATTCCTAGCTAGTCAGGAGGCTGAGATCTGAGGATCTCAGTTCCAAGCCAGTCTAGGCAATAAAGCTCAGGAGATGCTTACCTCTAAGTAACTACCAAACAATTGGAAATAGACCTGTGGCTCAAGTGGTAGAATGCTAGCTAGCCTTGAGCAAAAAAAGCTTAGGGACAGTGCCCAAGCCCAGAGTTCAAGTCCCAGGACAGGCACAAAAAAAAAAAAAAAAAAAAAAAAAAAAAAGCCATAATTTGAAGTGTGATTCAAGAGACTGGAGCACCAACTTTAAGGGGAAAAGCTCACCAACAGCATTAGGCCCTGTACCAGTACAAGTTCCAGCACCAGCACAAAAGAAGAAAAAACAATGAATATTTAAATCTAATGAGAGCATATTTACTGCACCTTAAAGCCATTTTACTAAAATCTAAATGCTGAACATTCTATTTGGTGATATAATACTTGTGAGAAGCACATATAAAACTAAAAATAAAGGACATAAAAAGCTATCTGGTGATAGAAACCTAAGAGTCATAAAGAACAAATGACTCCTTTAAAAATAAAAGAGCATGTAACTCAGTAGTATTGTTTAGCATTCAAGAAGCTTTGGACATTGGACCCTAACAAGGAAGCGGAAAATTTAAAACACTGCCCAAACATACCCAAAGGTAATCTTTAGCAAATATGTGGTACAGTGAGTAAACTATAATAAAAGTACTATCGGGAAGATATGTCACATGATTTATCTTTCTAAAAGTTTGTTGTTGTTGTTGTTGTTTTTGGGGGGTCGGTCATGGGGCTTGAATTCTAGGCCTAGGTGCTGTCCCTCAGCTCTTCAGTTCAAGGCTAGCACTCTATCACTTGAGCCACAGCACCACTTCCAGTTTTCTGGTGGTTTATTGGAGATAAGAGTCTCACGGTCTTTCCTGCCCAGGCTGGCTTTGAACCGTGATGCTCGGATCTCAGCTTCCTGAGTAGCTAGGATTACAGGCGTGAGCCACCAAGCCCAGCTCTAAAAATTATTTTTAACTTTCATAAAAATATTTCTTCTCACAACTCTCATGTATTAATAGATACTATTATTAAACTACAAAAAATACAACACAGACTTTAAGACAAAAGTGACTGACAAAAACATTAAAAATAACAATAAAATTATATGTTAAAAAAATTAACTACTCTAAATCAAACACTCCTTATCACAACTTAGAACTTAGTTACAAATTACTGGAATAATATTCCAGTACATCAAGTATCTTCAATATGTAATTTATACCAGGTATCTGTTATTGAAAAGCTATTTGCATACAAGTGCTATATAGTAAAATACATGGAGCTTATTTTTGCTTTTTTGGAGCATGGGTTTAATTTACGTTTCTTTGGATTTGTCTTTACAATGAGAGGTTAGGAATACAATGTCAGTGGTATTGGTAAATGAAAGTTATACCTTTACTGCTTTAGACTTTCAAATATCCATTATATACTCAATACTATAACTCAAGGCTTATGAAATTACAGGGGTGACAAGGATGAGTATTAGGAGACACACTTTATACGGCTCTACATGTTTGAGTTCTAAGTATCTTTCTGTAATAACAATGTTTACCAGCTGTTAGTATTCAAAAAGGAAACTACTTTCTTTTCCATTTTCACCATTAGATTTTCTTGAGAAATGTTAACACCCTGAAGAAAGCAAGTGTTTTAAGTCAATAGTGCTAAGAGTAACAATACCATTCCTTTTTTGTGCTGTATGAGAAACATGTTCAAGGCCTACAATACCTTTCTTTAGATTAAATCATCAGAATGTTTTAGATTCCATATTAATAAAGCATCTCACTATACTAAAATACCCATTTATGTTGAATATTATAGTTTTGTCCACTTAGTATACATATAATACTTGTGTTTAGTAATGCTAACAAATACATTATGGAAAATTAAGGAACCCTAATTTACAAAGCTTTATTCTGAACTTTAAGAAGATATAGTGTAATTTGATGATAGATAAATCATTTTATAACAACTTAGGGAGTAAAAGAAGTTTGCAGCTTCCTAGTCAGTCATATGTTCAGATTCCTGCTACTTTCCAACCATTATTACATATTTCTACTAAAATGAAAGAGGGGTAGAATTAAGTGGATTTTATAAAGTAGAATTAAGGCAGTATTTTTCAGATGGACAGATCTATCTTACCACTTGATCCACAACTATGTTACCCATCCAAAAGACACTGATTTCTCTTATGAATTACCTTTAATATATTTTAAGTTAGAATTGATCCATGAGATTTTTCAAAAATAAATGATAACACTTCATTATCAAGCAAGAGTTGTGGTTTAAGCCAAAATAATTTGTATGCAACATTTCAAAAGACTTCAATGCAATAAAATAAATGATGAAAACTCAAGTTTAAAAGTACTGATTAAACCCCACAAGAAGGTCTTATTATCCCATTTCAGAGATAATAAAACTAAGGCACGGAGTTATTAAAAGTTTAACAAATAGAAGTTATCAATTGAAGAAAGAGTTGACAAAATTACACCTTCACATGATGCATTCTTCATTCTTTAAGAATCCCAACAGTAGAAACCTAGTAAAAGTTAAGAATATTAACTTACAGAATTTATAAAACTCTGTACTTTCAGATTAAAAAGAACTATAAATTGACAACTGAAAAAAGGAAGCAAAGTATAGTTGATTTACAAAACATATGTCAAAGCACAACCCATAATAACAAAAGATCTCAAAGTGCTAGAAGACACCACAACTCTGTCAGGGAAATACACAAAGTTACAATGGTTCCGTTTCACTGACACTAAGAGTTATATATAATACTATAACTAGTCTGCATGATGAACTAGTCTTGATAGCTGAACTCAGGGCCTTGCAGTTATTTGACAAGTGCTCTCTCTACCTCTAGAGCCACAATTCTACCTAATACTATGATCAAAATTGAATACCACAAAGGAATAATTGGAAAAAAAAAAACCACTGATCTATTAACACAAATCAGAGAATCTCAACCGACAGAGAATTTGACATATACAGTTAAAATACAACTTGTACTTTCAGATGAGTACCTAGAAGAAGTAGTGAAATTTAATACATTAACATTTGAATTATCTATAGTATTTATCATATTTTACTATGTTTTCTAATAATTGGCACATGGTGATATAAATTATGCTTGACTAAAATATTAAGTTAGACCAATGGATTTTACTGCAAAGAGTACTTTTAAGTCATTACTACTTAAGTATTACATGTAAACTGTAGATTACCTACAACTGTCTTAAAAAAATATTAATTCACTACTCTATTCATCCACAAATGAGAAATTTTCATGGATTTTAACCAAAAGACTTTTTTTTTGTACCAGATAGGATACAAAGGCAAATATGGGAAGTCAACCATTTTCAATAGAATTAAACATTTTTTTTAATGTACACACATAAAACAATACCATTTTCCTCACTACATTGAAGTCAAATAATAAAGACCTTATAGTGGTTAAAAAAAAAAAATCACACTTCTCCATTTACAATGCATTTTCTTTAAAATTTTCTTTAATTTCTAACACAGCAAATAGTGATATAACCCAAACAAAACCTCTTTGAAGTCCTCAGTATTCTTAATAATGTAAAGGGATCTATAAGTCAAAAAGTTTGAGAAGGGCTGGGAAGGTGGCTCAGTGGTAAAGTGTTTCCCTTGCATTCATGAGACCCTGGGTTCCATTCCTCAGTACCACATATGCAGAAAAGGCCAGAAGTGGCTCTGTGGCTCAAGAGGTACAGTGCTAGGCTTGAAGTGAAGAGCTGAGGAACTGAGGGACAACACCCAGGCCCAGAGTTCAGGCCCC